TCAGATATTACTTGTAAGAGATACAGGCATCCGAAAACTACTCTTAAAAAGTGTCCTGCTAGAGGCAAGACCATAACTAACATAAAAGCTGATGTTATGAGTGTACTTGGACAAACAGGCTGCAGTGCAAAACTAAAACTGGGCTGTGCCAAGGAAATATTTTAGATGCATTTCCAGAGTTATTTATTGCCTGTGTTTGCTGCAGCCTCATGCTTCATTCATTTGGTCACAAATTGTGTGTTTGTTTTTCTTGCCGTCACTCGATATGTGTCGACACGGATCAGAGACAAAATCAATGAGTACTGTCATGTCAGATATTACTTGTAAATACAGATAAATGTAGCTTTCTTTTCAAAATTAACTGATAATATAGGATGCTTTAAAACTGATTGTCAGCTCTATTGAATTGTAAGCAACACTGTTAAACAACATGAGATCTGACTGCTTTGAGCAACACCTAAAATAAATATTCATTCATTCATTCATATTTATTTATTTATTTAGATAGTTTTAGTTTTTATTTACAATTTATTTGTTTGAAATTATTTAATAGAAATGATTTATTTTTCATATTTATTTGCTCATTTATATTTTTATTTACTTAATATTATTTAAGTATCTTAAATGATTCATTCATTTTTCATTTGTTTGTTTATTTTAAATTATTTACATTCTTAATATTTATTTGTTCGTTTCTATTTTTATTTATTTAACATTTATTTATCTTAAACTATTTATTTATTTTAAACTATTTTATTACTATTTTAATATTTATTTGTTAATTTATATTTTTATATTTTTGTTTTATTTATATTTTAAAAATTAATTTATTTAACGTTTATTTAGCTTAAACTATTTATGTATTTTAAACTATTTTATTACTATTTTAATATTTATTTGTTAATTTATATTTTTATATTTTTGTTTTATTTATATTTAAAAAATTAATTTATTTAACGTTTATTTAGCTTAAACTATTTATGTATTTTAAACTATTTTATTACTATTTTAATATTTATTTGTTAATTTATATTTTTATATTTTTGTTTTATTTATATTTTAAAAATTAATTTATTTAACGTTTATTTAGCTTAAACTATTTATGTATTTTAAACTATTTTATTACTATTTTAATATTTATTTGTTAATTTATATTTTTATATTTTTGTTTTATTTATATTTTAAAAATTTATTTATTTAACGTTTATTTAGCTTAAACTATTTATGTATTTATTTTAAACTATTTCATTTAAATTATTAGTTTTTTCTATAATTTTAATATGTATTTAATTTATATTTTTTAGTTATTTATTTAACATTTATTTATCTTAAACTTCTTTCTTTCTTCCATGCTGGTAAATGTGTTTTGTCCCATGTCTCAACAATCTGTGATTTCAGTGCAAAGGCAGTAAGATTCGTAAAGATTGTAAAGTTTATTTCAATTTTATTTTGAAATGAAATTGACATTTTGAAAATTCATTCACTGCTGAAATGAAAGACTGAATATAGGCAGCAGATTCCCTTCAGTTGGATGAATGATTTAGCTTTCTGCCATGTGTGTCATAATGTCTGCCCATTAGTGTAATTAATGCCGCTAATTAGCAGACCATCATTAATGCAAGTCTAATGACAACTGCATGAGCAACAAAGACTTCATTTACGGCATCTGCTGTCACACGAGGCCTTCAGTCGCTATGGCCGACATCCAAGCCCATGATGTACGAATGAAATCTTAAACAATGCTTCTTACAGAAGGACGGATTCATGTAAAGCCTTTCATTTGTGCTAAATAAAATCAAAGACTGGCTTAAGGTGTTTCAGTATCTAACTGCAGCGACTTTCCTCGGAAATGAAAAATGAAACTCGGTAAATCCAGCCAAGTATCCTGTAAGTAAGAGTTTAATAAAAGATTAATTCAAACTCCATCCTCAAGATTAAAGTCTAATCTGGGATAAAGCATCCAGTGGGATGTGTTTGTTTCCATCAGTCAAACGAGACGAACGATGCCGAGAAACTCCAGTCCTGCATGCACATTAATAAAAACACAAGGACATCATCCCGCCACAGCGCATTCATGAGAAAATCAGGGTGTGTTTTAATTCAGTGAGTGAGGCAGGTGTGCAATCAGAGGCTACGCTTGATTTAAAGAGCTGGAACTGGCCGGATTCATTAGAGCGCTGCCACATCACCCATAAATCAACACGCTGTCAATAAATGTAGCCTTTAAATATTAATAAGCGAGGCTCCTTTCTTCCCCCTCCTCGTGTCATCTCAACCTCACCACCATCTACTCAGCGTTTTTTTTAGTAGGCCATTTACCAGATCGCCAGTACAGAATGACACGCAATATGAAAAAAGCATCGTCTTTTTATATTGAGTTGTGTGCGTCAGACGCTTTATATCGTGTATCGCTCAAAAATATTGATGGTCTGTGTTGCAACAAAATGCAAAATGCTATGCTCTCAAAATGTTTTTCAATGTAATGCTCTTGAATAAAAAATTTTTTAAAAGCCACTGTGGGGCTTCCTAAGATATTGTTCAGAAATGTCAACTTTAAAAAGCAATATTTTGGGTTCAGTATACAAATTAAACTCAATTAACAGCATTTATGGGATAACGTTGATTTCCACAAAAAAATGGCAACACTTAAAAATAAAGCTTGATTTTTTTTTTAAGTACATTACTTAATTTTTATAATAAAATTTAAATTATATATATATATATATATATGTATAGGCTAAAAAATTATATATAATAAAATATATTATATATATTAAATTATATATAATAAAATGCATTTATGCATTTTTATTTTATTTTATTGAAGTTTTAATTATTAGAAACACACACACATCAATATTTGTAACCACTCACTCACTGCAGGAACTGGATAAAGCCTTTAAGGGGGCAAGTTGTCACACCTCTTTCTCCAGTGAATATTTCCCCAGATAAGAGGGAACGTTCTGGCAAGGTTCTCTTAAGGGATAGTTCATTACTCACCCTCATGTCGTTCCAAACCTGTCCTTTGTTCATCTTCCGAACACAAAATAAGATATTTCTGATGAAATCTGCATCACACACATGCATCTTGGTGCTCTCGTGAACGTGCGTCAAAGACTGACACGGAAGAGAAGAATTGTTGAATAAAGTCGTTATTTTTGTTTTCCTTGTGCACAAAAAGTAATCTCGTAATTATGGTTGAACCACTGATGTTACATGGGCTATTTTAAAAATGACCTTACTACGTTTCTGGGCCTTGAACGTGGTAGTTACCTTGCTGTCTATGGGAGGGTTTAGAAAGCTCTCGGATTTCATCAAAAATATCTTCTTTTGGGTTCCGAAGATGAACGAAGGTCTTACGGGTTTGGAACGACATGAGGGTGAGTAATTAATGACAGAATTGTAATTTTTGGGTGAACTATCCTTTTAAAATGAGAATAAACTCAAAAAAAGCACACGCACGTTAGCACAAAAACATTATTTACACATTGTCCGTGAACATTTTTCTGAAACATTTTAGTTGGAGGTTCTTCTAACTAGATGTTTGTGTCATTTTTTCAATGTTATTGAACATTTAGGGGAACAAAGTCAAATTTCCATTACAAAAATTGTTAAAATTGAAGAAAAAAAAATGATCAAATGGAGTTTTCACTTGCCATTTGAATAACCAATAAATAAAGAAATAAGTTATTTAAAGGTTACAAAAACTTTCGGTAACACTTTAGTATAGGAGAACCAATTCTCACTATTAACTAGTTGCTTATTAGCATGCCTATTATTACAGTTGTTTTCTTTTACCGCTTACATTTTCAAAACCTTGCTTCTTTTTTCTTTTTTTTTTTAAAACTTTGCACACACAAAATGCAAAATGCCTCACATCTCTTGCAAAATGAAGCACTGCATTCAATTTATATATTTATATATATAATTTATTAAAGCACATATTCTGCATGACCATATTCTACATAGCAAATCAGGAGTGTATTGATGCAAAACTCATAGTTAAATGGTTTGTTAATATCAAGAATTGAACATGGGGGGGAAAAAAGTGACCACATTTTTTTTTTTGTGCAATATTTTAATAATTTTATTTTCACCCCCAAAAAAGTTATTTAAATGTTTATTTGCAATATTCCAAGAACATTGAAATGTCCAGTTTTCTTGTCCTTATTAGAGCGTTATTTAAAAGTTCCTTAAACTTTTCTGACCACATTCTACTAACTTTTTCACCCAAAATTTAATGTTCTTTAAATCTTTATTTTTAATATTTTAAGAACGTTTTTAAGTACAAATAACATGTTTTTGTGTTTACAATATCTCTCACGTGCGACAATAACATATGAACACTAGTTTAATTATAGAACAGACATGTATTAAATGTATTATTCATATGCTTTATGAAAGCCTGACTGTGAATATCAGTACGCCTCATCAAGCACATGTTTGTACTGTGTCTCTGTTGTTTCCTGGTGTGTGTCAGTCATCAGTGTGTGTTTGGCTTGTGCTTACTGCCATCTTCAGGTGCAACAGTGCTGCTGTTTCATCACTAGGTGCCACTAGGTGCTGATACTGAGCAGCTTTATGTGTGATCTCTACATACTTCTTGATGCATTGAAGAAAAAAGACAGAAAACACAACAAGCATTTAAATGGTACTATTTAGTTAAAAATATGTAATCTAATATATTTATGTATTTCATGCATGCTTCAATAAAAATTTATGAATCATACTTCTGTCAAAACCAAGCCTATACCTACCCAATCTGGCAACACTCTATAGTGCACCTATGATGCCTTAAAAACCTGTCTACACAGGCAGGTTTCTCACTAGGTTTCTGGATCAGAGCAAAGGTGTGACACCGACAGAGACTAGCAAACAGAAGGTGTGTGATGCAATTAGTGTAGCACGGACATCAGGAACCAGATGTGTCTGAGGGTGTATGTCAGCATTTTTGCTGTACAAAATGAACAAGTAACTACACTAATACTTTGATAATTGAGCGTTGCTGTGACTCAGTGCCAGTCGGGTTACTCACAGGCCCAGAGGCGGTTGGTGGACGGTGTTTGGGAGGGAGCGCCGTTCTCTGCTACTGCGTTAATGAAGGTGTGGCTGATGGTGCTGACGGAGATCCCGTACTCCTCCACCTCTGCTCTCAGACAGTCAAAGAACGCCTGGACTGCATGCTTAGACGCGGCATCTGAAAACACATCAGATGCAAAGTAGTGCATATTTAATTAACTAATACCTTATTTGCATATTTTGCTCAATTTGAATGGGTGCCGTCAGAATGAGAGTCCACACAGCTGATAAAAACATCATAATAATCCACACCACTCCATCTATTAACGCCTTGAGAAGACAAAAGCTGCATATTTGTAAGAAACAAATCCATCATTAAGATGTTTTTAACTTCAAACCGTTGCTTCAAGCTAAAATATGATATAATCATATAATCCATAATCTATAATAGCGCTTCCTCCAGTGAAAAAGTGACAATCTCCTGTTGTCTCTCACATCAAAATCCACCCACGTATTTGTTCAGAGCTGTTTTGGACTGTAAACGGTGCTTGATCTGTGCAGATTTCTCTCCTGATTCAGACCAAATTACCTTTTCACTGGATGAAGCGTTATTATTGATTATAGACTCGTATTTTAGTTAAAAACGTCTTTTTTGCTTTACAAGACATTAACTGATGGACTGGAGTGGTGTGGATTATTGTGATGTTTTTATCAGCTGTTTGGGCTCTCATTCTGACGGCACCCATTCACTGCAGAGGATCCATTGCTGAGCAAGTGATGGCAGTGACTCTTACAGCATGTTCGGAATGGTAGAGCCAGTTTCCCTTGGATGCTGTTGACCAGCACAAACTGACCCATCCGTCTCGTGATCATTAACGGAAGAACACCTGCAACAAAAACAAGCAGCGCTTTAACATTCTTTCTGCCAATGAACCATCGGCATGTTCCTCGCTGTGTTTCTGCAGCCGTCTACCCTTGGCCAGCGTTATGGGCCCAAAGTAGTTGACGTCCATGACGGTTTTGTCCATCTCCAGAGAGAGATTCTGCACCGGTGCTTTGACCTTCATGCTGCTGTTGCATATCAGCACATCCACACAGCCGTAACACTCTCCGATCTCTGTGATCACATCCGAAATGTTCTCCATATCGCTGAAGTCCAGCAGCACTAGCTTGGGTGTGAAAGTCTGAAACAGGAAGTATAGATAGTAGGAAACCAGATGCCACATTAATGCTTGAACATACTTTTAGAATTATTTTGGAGGTCAGTAATGTGTGTGTGTGTGTGTACCTAACCCTATATATATATATATATCAATTATAAATTGCAATTTAAAATATAATCAGATAGTAAACAGTTATTTTTAATTATTACTAATAATAATATACAATATTACTGCTGAGCAGAAGAGTTCATTGTATTTAGATATGTTTACTGGAAAAAAGGATTTTCAATGGAAGAAGAAAAATTTGAATTGTTTTGGTGCACTATTTTTTTAAGCATCATAGAATGTTGCAGTATATATATTATACAGTACTTTTTTTGTGTGTTTTTTTGTGGGGGTTAAAGATTAGTTTAATATTTTCCAAGCCACTGATTGTTCAAAAATTTAAATAAATAAATGTAAGTCTTTAAAAGTAAAGTTAAGATTAAAATATTTTAAAACAAATATCTTACGCAGTTTTGCCTCTCAAGTAACTTTATTTTGTTTTAAAGGTATTTTTACTAGAGAAAAATGATGTTCTGATGCGTAATGAAGTGTTCTTTGATCATATTAGTACAGAGTGCTTTAAATAATTAACGTCTTTATACACTGCAGCCATAAATTAACAGGTTTTTGCTTTTTAATAGCATTTAAAAATGCAACATTTCTCATGGCAGTATGATTTACGGCAAAATAAATGAAGTCAACATGTTGTTTGAAACAGCAGAGGACCAGTATTTTAAGAGACTCGTGGACATTCGGCTGTCAGGAGGAAATCCTGCCATTGTTCATGACAGAGGAAGAAACACTGACAGAGACACACAGACACACAAAATCCTGAAAGTGAAGAGAGCGAGTGATCACAGTGAACATGAGACAGGCTTGCTGATGGTGTCTGTCTTACTTTGGGACTGTAGGTCTAATAATGTGGTTCAATACTCACTTTACTGGGGTCTGATCCACTGCACAGAGAATCATACAGAGATTCAAGCTTATCCCAGCTCGGCCCACACAAAACCAGCCTCGCGCCACCTTCATGAAACAGTCTGGCACATTCTGACAAACAGGCAAAGACAGGATCAGAGGATGACAATACAGGAGAAATGCCTTCTCAGTGGAGGATACATGCAATGCAAATCAAGTTTGGCCAATATGGAACACTAATAAAAATATTAATATAAAGATATTAAGATATGTCATTTTCTGAAAAATGTTTTCAAATTGAGTTTTTACTGAAAACACAAAAAATATCTGCCACTGAGGTCAGAAAAATAAACTTCATTTAAAGTGAAATTTATGAAAGCTTGCTTCTGCCATACACTCTCAGAAAAAAAGGTACAAAAGTTGTCACTGGGTGGTACCTTTTCAAAAGGCACAACTTTGTACCTAAAGAGTCCATATTGGTACCTTAAAGGTACAAAAGTGTACCTTTTGAAAAGGTACCGCCCCAGTGACAGCTTTTGTACCTTTTTTTCTGAGAGTGTAGGATAAAAATTGAAAAGGTAATTGTGTATATATATATATACTTGCAAATAAAAAATAAAAAAAAGTCTAAACTGTGAGATAAAAAGTTGCAATTTTTTTTAACCTGTGCTGGAAATGGGGTTCCATTTTTCAGAAAGCAATACTTAACCTTTTTTTCTGAGAGTGTAGGATAAAAATTGAAAAGGTAATTGTGTATATATATATATATATACTTGCAAATAAAAAAATAAAAAAAGTCTAAACTGTGAGATAAAAAGTTGCAATTTTTTTTAACCTGTGCTGGAAATGGGGTTCCATTTTTCAGAAAGCAATACTTAATATATTATGCTATTTTGATTCTCCAGTAAATATATCTTGATTTATGAATGTTTATATATTTGTACTGGAAAACAATATAATTTTAGCAGTGTACAATAGCAGAAATGTAAAATGTAAATAAATTAATTAATTAATAATTACACATGGCAGCATGATTATGACAATAAACAATTGTTTAAAAAATAAAAAAATAAAAAAAGGGCGGGCCATCATAAAATATTCTTATAAAACATAAAAAGAATTTATATGGTTCCATGAAGAATCTCCAATATCCATGGAACCATTTCACTGGACTAGATTATTAAAATGATCTTCGCACTAAGAAAAAATGGTTCTTTTAAGAAGTGACCACTGAAAGGTTCTTCAGGGAACCAAAACTGGTTCTTCTATGGCATCACTGCAAAAACTTCCTTTTGGAAACTTTATTTTTGAGAGTGTCGTATTGGAACAAAAAAATTGAGTGGAAGCCAAGTTTTATACTGGCTTTGTTTAATTTTGTGGTGAAGTAGTAAGTAATAGACCATTAATGAAGCATTACCACTTCCCATTCCGGACACGGCGTCTGTGATCACCACAACTTTGTTCCGCACCATGGACTTGGACATGAAGCGCATGACCTCATTGTAAACGTAATAAACTCCAGCGAAAACCACGATCAGCAGCGGCAGCACCATAACCGATGGGACACCCATCTTCTGAAAACCAAGAAAAATAGAGTTCATCTCATAACTAAAACAAAACCTTTGCATGTGAGCTTACAAGAAATGATCCTTCATTACTTTCTAAACTGGAGACATATGAAAGATGCGATGAACACTTCCCGTTACACTGTGACAGATGCTACAGTATCATTGTTTTACAAGTCAACATTTTTGGCTTGACTACATTTAAATGAATAGTTCACCCAAAAATGAAATGTTTTCATGACGTTTCAAGCTTGTATGACTTCCCTGCACAAGAGAAGATGTTAAACAGAATGTTAGTGACTGACAGCCTCGATTACCACTGACTTTCTTTGAATCTTTTGTCCATATAAAGGGAGTTAATGGTGGGGTTTTCATTTAAGGGTGAACTATCTCTTTAAAGGAAGAGTTCATCCAAAATAATAATAATAATAATTATAATCTGAAAATGTGCTCACTCACAGGTCGTCCAAGATGTAGATGAGTTTGTTTCTTCATCAGATTTGGAGAAATGTAGCATTGCATCACTTGCTCAGCAATGGATGCTCTGCAGTGAATGGGTGCCGTCAGAACGAGAGTCCAAACAGCTGATAAAAACATCACAATAATCCACACCACTCCAGTCCATCAGTTAATGTCTTGTGAAGACAAAAGCTATGTGTTTATAAGAAACAAATCCATAAAGACGTTCCTCTCACATCAAAATCCACCCACATATTTGTTCAGAGCTGTTTAGGACTGTTTTGACCTGATTCAGACCAGACCATTTTTTCACTGGAGAAAGCATTATTATGGATTATGGACTTGTTTTTAGTAAAAAGTCTTAATGATGGAGTTGTTTCTTACAAACACACAGCTTTTGTCTTCTCAAGATGTTAACTGATGGACTGGAGTGGTGTGGATTATTGTGATGTTTTTATCAGCTGTTTGGACTCTCATTCTGACGGCACCCATTCACTGCAGAGGATCTGTTGGTGAACATTTCTCCAAATCTGAAGAAGAAGCAAACTCATCTACATTTTGGAAAGCCTGAGGGTGAGTACATTTACAGTAAATGTTTATTTGTGTGCGAACTATTTGTTTAACAAATGCTGATCAGCTGTATACAGTAATGCGTGTCACTAGTTCCATAAAAGTGTGGCTGAGGACAAGATCTATAATTAGCCAAGCTCTCGCCACTGACACTGGACACACAAGAAGCACATATTTGGACATACATGAAGAGAATAGATGTGCCTCTCTCACTGTTACGGCATTCAATGATTTAACCAACAACCATTCTGTTGCTTTTTATCAAAACATTTCCAAGTCCAACACAAGCAACAGTGTCACAGATAGATTAACGCCTGACCAGCACTGATATATAGTGCCAATCAACAGCACACACACACACACTAACCTACATGCAGGCGACCATAATCTGTTTTATTTTCAGTGTACTTACAGTGTGTGTAAAGAGTTAAGCCAGCCTTCAGTGGAAATGTGTGTTGTTGTCCGGTCAGGAAAGCAGACTGAAGCCTGCCGTCCTCCCTGTTCATCCAGCCGCGGTACTCGTCTGGATCACGGCTCTTTTAATAGCATGTGGCTGAGCGACTGAGCTCATGCATGTTGTGAATACTATCTCAGGCATGTAGAGAGGCATTCAAGGGTACCTTGAGGTTCTTTCTATATTGCATTGTATAAAATTATATATTTTAAGATGTCTGTTAAAATGTAATTATACATTCAAGTTTTGAGTAATATTAATTAACTACATATACTTTAGTTAGGGTTAGGAATAGGGTTTGGTTTAGGGTTAGTTGCATGTAATGCATAACGCTGTTATTAATACAGTAAGTACATGTAACATACATGTAAAATAAAGTTTTTTTATTGATAGTGCATATGTAGAATATTGTTAAAATGCAGCATTTTTATTGATTTTTTAAATGTTATTTTATGGATAGTGCATATGTAAAATATTGTTAAAATGCACAATTTGTATAATTTTTTATAGATTTTTTAATTTTATTTTATCGATGGTGCATATGTAAAATATTGTTAAAATGTATAGATTTTATATATTTTTTAAAATTTATTTTATTGATAGTGTATATGTAAAATATTGTTAAAATGCACAGATTTTATATATTTTTATATATTTTTTAATGTTATTTTATTGATAGTGTATATGTAAAATATTGTTAAAAGGCACAATTTTTATAATTTTTTTATAGATTTTTGAATTTTATTTTATCGACGGTGCATATGTAAAATATTGTTAAAATGCACAATTTGTATAATTTTTTTATAGATTTTTGAATTTTATTTTATCGACGGTGCATATGTAAAATATTGTTAAAATGTACAGATTTTTTTTATTTTTATAGATTTTTAACATTTATTTTATTGATAGTGCATATGTAAAATATTGTTAAAATGCACCATTATTTATGCTATTACACTGAAAAATAAATGGTCCAGAAACAATATTCACTCAGAATTTACAAGTAAAGTTATTCACAAAGAAACAGCAAATAACATTGAATTTAAACATGACATTTAAAAAAAGTTTTTCTTGTAAAGCTTTTATTTATTTATTTATTTAATTTTATTTTACAGTGCACATACGCAGTTTAACATATCACGAGATACATTTTTGGGTCACCTGTTTATAAGACCTACTGGATTACACAATAAATTAAGCATATCTATTTTTCAAAAGCTTATCAAGTGCCATATGAAAGCAAAACACTTAACTCAGCAAAAATCTAATTATATTAAACTAAATTAAAAAAGGAAACCAAGAAAATTATTAATTTTCACTTTATTGAATTCTTTTTTTATTTATATCAATGGACGAATCAAAAAAATTTCATAACAAGCAATATCCCATAAAATAAGCACATCCTTTCAAATATTAGTATATTGTATAGAAGCGAACGATGTTAATGTGTGATCGCAAAGATTAAACAGTTTGTTTTAGAATTGCTTGTAAAAAGGTTTTGTCTCTTATGCATACAGAAAATAACAGGAAAGCACTGAGAAAGGTTTACATATTTATTTGCATTATTTGACTACAGCATTATTATTATTTATTCCTTTTTGTTTTTACCCCAGATGCCATTTTTAATTTATAGGCTACTTCTTTTGTTCTGAATTGTGCACATGTTCACTAGAGTCCACAGGGTGGACATCTCCCGGGACCGTCCTGCTCTCGCGCTCCGAACTCTCGCGAGAGAAAATGAAATTCCAGCAGCAAATCTGCGAGCTCGCGACCTCCCTCCATCGGGAAAGCTCGAGCGCGGCTGAGTGAGGGGAGAGAAAACAGCCGCTCGTTAGCCTGGAAAAGCGTCGAAACGACGCGTTTATCGCAGCTCACGGAGCCGTGAGGTTCGAGCTAAGACATGCAAGGTACCGGCGGAGGATACCATGTCAGGTTCGCCGAACATCGGGACTAGTTTTAACGCTCCGCTAAACGAGCAAGAGGCTTCATTAGCGAGCTAACAGACGCTAGCAGTGAAGTGCGTGAAAACTTACAGCCCGAGAGAGAATTTGCCTTTGGGATTGAAAACCAGGATACCTCACCAGCGGGTTTTTTCCCTAATTCCATCGCTTCCCAGAAAGCCCAGCTTCACTTGACCAGAGGAACACGTGAAATAATCGCTTTGTTTACCGCTTGCACAATCCCAGCATTGATTCGCTCAGAAATGAGATTAGAGAGTCGCTTTGTGAGGCCTGTTAACTAGAGATCTGCTTATATAAACTACTCTCATTCCGACTAGTGCGGCTGCTGCGAAGGAGACTCGAGGAGGAACTGAAGCGGCTGTGAGCGGGCATGTTTCGCATGGCGACCGAGTCGAGAATCGGATGAAAGAGCGTCGGGGTTACTGCTGTCTGTCTCTCCTGGGCGCTGCTGGGATTTGAGACGCGCACACATAGAGGAATAAGATGTCCAGTGCGAAGGAAAACACGTGTAGGAAATTTCAAGCGAACATTTTCAACAAAAGCAAATGCCAGAACTGCTTCAAGCCCCGAGAGCTGCATCTGCTGACGGACCAGGATCTCACTCAGGTATGAACGGCTCGTTGCAGTCAGCTGATGTATACATACAAACTGTAGTGACTTATTGATTGTAGACAATGGATTTCCATTAGCTGACAGCGCTTTATCGAGCAGTTTGCGGTGACCACCACTAATCAGCCTTTTAGGATCATTTTGTTTAGAAAGGGCTTGTCTTGTTACCTTTAAACTGGGTTTCGACGAGGCTTTTGATATATTTAGTCATTTATCAGATGCTTTTATCCAGAGCGACTTACAAATGAGGACAACAGAAGCAATCAAAACAGATCCAAAGCTAAAGCTTTATAAATACTACCTATACACATTTTAAAAATAAAGAGATTCAATAAAAATGACAAATGCATACAACAAAATTTCCAAACTTAACATTTAAACGAAGAACAAATAATAGAGATAAAAACAATTACAAATATTAAAGAACAAAAGGTATACGAGTATAATAATGACTAACATAACACCAAAAGAACAACTACATATGTGTGTGTACAACCACACACACGTGCATGTATACTGTATATACACATTTATTAATTCTATATATATATTATTTAATTTCCATTTAGTTTTTGTTGAGCTATTAAAATAACCCAAATTAAATAAAACTAAAAACTTAATAAAAGACCTATATAGACATAATAGATTCAGACATAATGCAACTAAAATTAAAATAAGTAACAAATACAAATCAGTAGTTTATCAGTAATCCTAAAAAGTAACACTGCCAAACACACAACAACTTGCACATAGTAAGAAATGGTTATAAAAACTGAAACAGAAGCGAAACAAGTAACAGGAACAATTTTTACATTGTTTTAGTGGCGCATGCAGGTACTACTTCATTTTTTTAAATTGTTCTTCATGGATGTTTGTGACTGATCTAATGTATTTACTGTATATGCGTTTTCAGTTGCGCTAAACTGCTTGGAACGGTTGGAACGCTGTATTGACCAATCAGAAGTCAGCAGAGGTCTACTTCTGATTTCTGATAGGTCAAAACCGCGTTCCAGCCGCTCTGTAATCTCTGTCGCTGCTCGGCTTCAATCACATAATTTTTTTTTCTGTGCGGAATCGTTCTTTTATGTTCTAGTGGAAGTATGGCAATTAATTTGTTTAATATAATGAGGTTTAATTAAATGTATGTTACGAATATTTATATATGTAGTAACCCTTAAAATAAGCCTGTATTTCATTAATCGAAGTTTCAGTTTCTTTTTTCATATAGATCTTGATAAAATTTCAGAATTGATTTAGAAGTATTTTGTTAGACTTTTATACGGTGGCCGAGAAGTGCAAAACAAATCACAATTCTGAAAACAAAATAACAAATTACAAACGCAAATGCAAGTCTAAAAAACTAAATAACAATTCAGAAAGCACAACAACAATTCAGAAAACATTATAACAAGTCAGAAAACACAACGACAAATCAGACAAACCGGAAGAGGTAGGTATAGTTTGAGACAGCGCCATTGGTTTGGGATTAGTCACCGCTGACTGGACGAGACATCTGTCAATCAACGTATACAGGGAAGAACCAGCCGAAGAACAGCAGAGTCGTGGTAGAAAGATTTGAAAAGGGAGGGAAAAAAAGTTTGGCAAAAGGCGGGATCGAACCCGGGTCGATCGCATCAAAAAGCCAACGACACGCGCTTATCCATCTGCGCCACTGGAGCTGATGTTCTACAGCCACTTTTAACTAAATGAAAATAGACACCCCGTATTTTTTATTCCATAGTAAGGGCAATTCATACAATACATTTAAACTGAGCTACTTTAATACCATCTCCGAACTTTCTACCAGGACTCTGCTGTTCGTCGGCTGGTTCTTCCCTGTATACGTTGATTGACAGATGTCTCGTCCAGTCAGCGGTGACTAATCCCAAACCAATGGCGCTGTCTCAAACTATACCTACCTCTTCTGGTTTGTCTGATTTGTCGTTGTGTTTTCTGACTTGTTATAATGTTTTCTGAATTGTTGTTGTGTTTTCTGAATTGTTATTTTGTTTTTTAGACTTGCATTTGCGTTTGTAATTTGTTATTTTGTTTTCAGAATTGTGATTTGTTTTGCACTTCTCGGCCACCGTACTTTTACAACCATTGAGCACTAAATGCTGTTTCCGTGTTAAAACAGTATTGTTACGACCATATAGTTGCTTTTGAGAAATGCACCCCAGAGCATTTCCAAACCTCGTCAGGATTACGGTACTTTAGAACTTCGCTGCTAGAGATTGGGGAATAATTGGCCATCTCCATGCGTTTCTGGATGTGTGTGATGTGAGCTCATGTTGGAGTCCATTTCTTAAAAATCAAATGTATTTTCCCCCCTCTAATTATCTTATTCAGTGAAAGAAAGCTTTGGTTGTTTGCATGAAAATACAAACTGTGACCATATTTCCATATGAGCTCTTGAAAGAGAACGAATTAGAGGAAAAGTTTTAGACCATAAGGGCTTGTTGTGTGTTTTTTTAATTGATCCCATACTCTTCAGAGCCTTCGAGCGACGTCAGCATCCTCCAGCATGTGCGTGTTTTGGTTTGAGTGAGATTACCAATGATTAACCCGTTCTGTGCCAGATTCATGAGTCACTGTTATGGATTACATCACTCACTAATCCCGCTAAGATGACCCAATATTCATTACTAAATCAAACCCTTTTGGGCTCTGGAGTCATCTTCAGTCATTCAGTTTATGATTTCTTTATTTCTGTTTTGACAACAGTATTACCAAATATTCAGATTAGACTCAGACCATACGGTTAGACCAAGTGCATTCTCCAATTTTAATATAAATGGAAATTAAAGCGATGGTTCAGCCTAGTGCTGTGTTCGATACATCGATACGATGATGTATCGTCACAGAGATACAGCTGGCCCTGTATCGATATTGTGGCGTGTGCGCTGCAGTGGACTGCGCTTAATTTGAATACAAGAACACAGTTTAAAACGGAGTAGAAAAGTGCAAGGTTTCTAAAAAATAATGAATAGAGCATAATATATAGGCTACAACAAGGTTTAATCTGGCCGCAGACAAAGTCCCTTTCGCCGCAGAGGAACACAGCCGGGGTTGCCTGATAAAAAAAGACATAATCTCCGAAACAGAGCTTCCCACTTGTGCAATACGGAAATATCTGCTATGCGTTTTACTTGTTTTTGTCAACCTGGCAACCATGTGCACACGCTCTCTCTCTCCACTGTGGATGAACGCGCTGGCTTTCTGAAAACACCGGTTAGCTTGCAGTTTAGCGATTTCCACTTCAATATTCTATTCTCAGAAAAGTGTAATTCATTAAGTGTTTATTTACACGAGAGATAGAGAGAGAGAGAGAGAGAGAGAGGCTGTGTATGTATGAATTACCACCATTTTGCCGTGTTTCTCTATTAACAGTGAAGCTGTGGATTTAATTGCTTTACAATTAATTGCTGTTACCAGCTCCTTGTTGAGAAAGATAATGTAGCTCTTCTGCGATTAAGCTATTTTATTGATAAAATTGCGGAGCAGTGCTAAAAAGTTTGTCTGAGCGCTAAAAAGAATGTCTGTGCGCACGCGGCGTGATCTGATCTGTGTGACTAATGGGGCTTTTCCACTGCGTGGTACGACTCGGCTCGGCACGGCTCGGCACGGTTTGCATCTCCACTGCAGTTCAGTTTCGCTTTAGAGTGGGCGGGATTATTAACATGTCGTTATAGTCGCGCCGCCTCTACTGCCACAACTCCTAAAAAAACGTTTTCATTCCGGGTCGCCCCATCAAGCTCTCGCTGGATCCGCTCCTCTGCTATCAACGAGAGGAACGTCTGTTCTTCCGCAACAGACAACAAAACTTTTTGGTTGTTAAAAAAAAGGTGCGCACGTTCAAAACAGTTGTGTTCGATCCTTCGCTGGCTGTGCTGATTTAATCTAGCGGTTCTGTTGTGTTTGTGTTGCAAGTTCAGTGACGCAGGTAGTGACGATTCTCTCCGGCCAATCCGTGATCAGCAGAGTTTACACGTCACGTTTTGGTAACGGTACAGTTCACTTGGAACCCCAACCGAGGGGGTACTAAAAAAAGTACCAGGTACTGTACCCAGTGGAAAACCCCCCAAAAGTGAACCGTACCGTGCCGTACCATGCAGTGGAAAAGCGCCATAAATGTGTGCGTGAGGTACAATGCAGACATGCGCATTAGTTTAAAACTCTTCTAATTGTTATTTTTATTTTTTAAACATAGAGTGTGTTGATTTGTGCAATGATAACCTACCAGCAATGTTAAGATGATTTTAATATTTTAGAAGGAGTACATTACAATATAAATTTATTAGAACGAGAACATTATTTTTTATGGACTTAAAAACAAGATGAACAGCTGTTTTACTAAATTCTTCTGAGGTGAAATTCAGTGCAGTCCCGTATCGTGATACATATCGTATCGTGGCCTCTGTATCGTGATTAGGCATGGGCCGATTACCGGTTTCAAGGTATACCGCGATTTGAAAATTTTAAATCGAATATTTTCCGTTATACCGTTCCTGCGGTATGCGCTGTTTTTCATGTCTCAAAGACTGAAAGTGTAGGAATCCCTCAGGTTGAGTGCAGAGTAGAGAGTAACACGACGCTCCTCCTGTTGGTGCGAGCGAGTGGTCAGTCACGTGTGTGTAGGACGGCCGAACTTAAGGAGCTTCCCGCGATCGGCAACAGACATTTTTTGTCTTATTGCAAGCAACTCATCTCTGTTCTGGACTTGCACAAACTGCGTTGCAATGCAATCGTTTTCCAAAATGTAATTTATGTGAAAATATGAAGTCTGTAAACGCCTGTTAACACAGGCCAGAGACGCTGAAGAGGGACGCGAAGAGAAAAATACTGTTGCAGGCAGATCACTCACTGTTCATGATGCACAAACTATTGGAAGAAAATCCTCAATATTGATTTGGGGGTTTGTATGAATGTGTTTCTGAGGGGAACTGACTGTCTTCAGAAAAGTTTACCGGGTATTTTCTTTTAATCTCGTCTCTGTA